TCACCGCCTGTGCTGCCACTGCCTGGCCCCAGGCCACCGCAGACCAGGAGCCACCGGCTCCAGCTCCTCCCCTGCTTAGCGAAAAACGCTCCTTTCCACCAAAACGCTCTTTCCCCCGTCCATCTCCCCATGGGGCCAGGCACGCTCACGCCCGATGAAGGCGTGGGGCCAGCAGCAGGCAGGACCTGGGGCTCCCCGCAGTCGGCCTCCGCTGTCAGGCTCCTGAAAGGTGGGTGACCCCCCCCCCTCCCAGCTTCGAGCCGCCCCGTCGGCCACCATCGCCCCAGAGCCACACGGCCAGCGTGGTCCCACCGCACCCTGCCGCCGCCCGCGCACCGGCATCACTTACGCTCTCTTCGGGTAAATGTTCCCCGTCCTTTTGCAATCGTAGATGGTGAAATTGGCCCGGATAATGTTTTTGCTGTTGACCCGGAGAGCAGTTTCAACAACCACGTGGTCTGAGAGAATCAAGCCAAAGAACATTGGGTTGCAAGAGCCTCTCGCTCGCGCTCAGAAGACAGGACAGGCCCTTGGGAGAGCAAGGGCTCAGCCTGATTTGTTTTCTCTAGGGCCTCCTCCGAGCTGCATTTCAGAGCTTAGACCGTTCATCTTTTGCCCTCTGACTTTCAGCTCTTCCCTCTTAAATCAACGCTTTACATCACCCTCACCAGAAAAGAACATTGCAACTTTCAGCAGAAAATTCCAGCATGTTGCGCAAGTGTTAATTAGCAGAGTTAATTATTGTCTTCGCTTACAGTTGGTGCTAAATGATATTTAAAAAAAAATGTGGTAATTAAAACATGTTAGTTATCATGTTTTAAAACCCCGCTCACTTTCCCCATGACAACAAATCCACAGAGAAGAGTGGAAATCCCTTTTTTGGCTACTTAACACGCTATTCCAACTCCCCCTGCCCCCAAAATTGCTTCTTTTTTTCTTTTTCTTTGCAATTTTGCCATATAAGCACCAGGGACAAGAGACAATGCCTCTTTCAGAATATGTACAATAAATCAGCGCATGGGATTCCAGAAATTCATTTGGACATTGCTGTAACCAACAATGCAGAGCAGTTAATGATCTCCCATTCTTTGGATAGCAAGGGAGAAAAACAATGCAGCTTTATAAACTTGCCCATGGAAAGTGGGACTTGCAGAAGGACCGGCCAGTCCTTCCCCATTGCCATCTTCAATGGAGCATTCACTCCAGGCTCGAGAGATGAAGCTTGAACAAGCACTCGAGTCTGGCACGAAGCATCCAGCGGCTCAGAAGCAGCGGCAAAACGGGGCTGTCCCCATCGCTGAGCGGCCCTTGCAGAACCCGCGCGGTCTGGCACGAAGCATCCAGCGGCTCAGAAGCAGCGGCAAAATGGGGCTGTCCCCATCGCTGAGCGGCCCGGGCCGGACCCGCGCGGCTCGGCTGAGCGCGGCCGGGTCTGCAGGTGCTCATCAGCCCCGAGACGGGGATGCAGCTCCGCGGCGCCTGGGGACCGGCATCCCGCTGCGCACCACCCGGCAACAGGGGGATACTGGACGGCCTCAGCCTGGCTTTTAGTTGCAGACACGAGATGAAGTTCTTCCAGAACTTCTCCCGAGGGGCAGCGCGTGTTCGGGGGGAAATTAAACAAAAGCCATTGAAAATATCAACATAAGTCGCAATGTTATTTCCTGAGGGCTAAAACATTTTGGTTCGGTACTCGCTAAATCTAAAGCAGAAGCGCCAGCCAGATAAATCTGAATAAAATAAGTACATGAACTGGCTGTTAAATTCTGGTGTTTAAACCAAAACCTGGTAGGGTGGAAATACTGTCATTTCATGTCAGGATGGTGGAACTTTAAAGTCGCGTGACCTACAAAACAGGAGCAGCCTGGGTCTTCCCTCCCTTGTATGCGTTATCTGCACATGCAATGGAGAAAGAAACCAAGCCTACTAAAAACTACGTCCACAAAAGTGGTTAGAATGAACCAGGCTTGTTCTTCTCTACGCACCTTGGTCGTCTGGAAACGTCGGATATCTCTCGCGTGGAAGTAAATTGCAATAAATAAACTGGTTTACATCATCTCCAGCAACTCTGGCCACCGTGTGGATGTTACTTCCATAGTCACAGGAAATGTTTGTTCCGTTCAGGTTCGGGATAGTCCCATTTATTTGTATTATCAGGACCTGTAATTGGACAAAAAAAAAACCCAGTTATTACAACACGAAATGAGAACTTGTCTATGCTTTACAAGCTTTTCACAGGCTCACGGCTCCAACCCAAGGCCACACAGAGCCGTTCCCTTTCGTTCCGCGCACTTTAACCTCTGGAAGCCACCCGTGTACAAGCCCTGGCTTCAGCAGTGAGAGCTCTGTCACCACTGACTCCGACAAACATCGCTGGGGAGTTACCGGCTGGCGTGAAAACCCAGCCCAGGGCTTTTGGGGAGTCGGCGCAGAGGAATCCCAGCACGGCCAGGGCTGGCAGGGCCCCCCAGAGCT